TTTTTTTTGAGATAGAGTTTTGCTCTTGTCACCCAGGCTGGAGTGCAGTGGTGTGATCTCAGCTCACTGCAACCTCTGCCTCCTGGCTTCAAGAGATTCTCCTGCCTCAGCCTCCTGAGTAACTGGGATTACAGGCGCCCACCACAACGCCTGGTTAATGTTTCGTATTTTTAGTAGAGACAGGGTTTCACCATGTTGGGCAGGCTGGTCTCGAACTCCTAACCTCAGGTGATCCGCCCACCTTGGCCTCTCAAAGGATTGGGATTACAGGCATGAGCCACTGCTCCCAGCCCCCAAAATACATTTATGCTTTTATATTACCTATATATTTACCTTTACCAGTACTCTTTGAGTATTCATGTGCATTTGAGTCTAGTTTCATTTTATCCTAAAGGATTCATTCTCCTTTCATATTTCTTGTGGGGCAAGTCTGGTGAAGACAGGTTATCACAATGTTTATCTGGGAGTGTCTTCATTTCTTGTTTTTGAAGGACAGTTTTTCTGGATATAGAATTCTTGGTTGAGGCTGGGCACAGTAACCCACACCTTAATCCCAGCACTTTTGGAGGCCAAGGTGGGAGGATTGCTTAAGACTAGGAGTTTAAGACTAGCCTGGGCAAGATAGGAAGACCCCCTGTCTCTTAAAAATTTTTACTTTATTTTATTTTGGTGGCACATAGTGGTAGTCTTATTTGAGAGGCTGAAGAGAATTGCTTGAGCCCAGGAGTTCGAAGCTACAGTGAGCTGTGATTGCACCACTGCAAAAATAATTCTTGGTTGATAGTCTTTTTCATCCAGCACTTTCAGTATGTCATTTCACTGCTTTCAGGCCTGCACTGTTTCTTATGAGAAGTCAGTTCTTAGCTTTACTTGCTTCTTTCTTTTGAGATCTTTTTCAACAATTTGATCATGATGCATCTAAATGTGAATCCCTTTGAGTTTACCCTACTTAGTTTGTTCAATTTCTTGGATACAAAGATTAATGTTTTCATAAAATTTGGGACGTTTTGGGCTACTATTTCTTCAAATAGTCTTTCTGCTTCTTTCTCTCTCTTCTGGGATTCTCATTATGATTGGCATACTTGGTATTCTGGTACACTTGATAGTGTCTCAAAGGTCTCTGAAGCTCTCTTCATTTTTCTTCATTCTTTCTTTCTATTCCTCAGACTGTATAATCTCAATTGACCTGTCTTTGAACTCACTTGATTCTTTGTTCTGCCAGTTCAAATTTGCTATTGACCCCCATCTAGTGAATTATTTCCATTATTGTATTTCTCAATTCCAGAATTTCTATTTTTTTGTCTCCTTACTGATAGTCCCGATAATTTGGTGAAACATTATTCTCATAATTTCCTTTAATTCTTTAGACTTTGTTTCTGTTCCTTGAACATATTTACAATAGCTGATACCTAAAGTCTTTGCCTAGTAAGTCTAACATCTGGGCTTCCTCATAGATTATTTCTATTGACTGCTTTTTAAATTGCTGTGTATGGCATGGGTCGTATGTTCCTGTCCTTTGTGTCTTGTTTTAAATACTACATCAATTATTGAAGTCAGATTACCTCCTCTCCAGGGTTTGCACCTGTTACTGTTCCTTATTGTTGCTGCTTTTGGTTGGTTCTGTGTCTTTCCTGGACTAATTCTGTAAATTCTGTATTCTTTGTCATGTTTGGTTCCTGAAGTCTCTACTCAGCCTAGTGGGTAAGCTAATGATTGGACAGATTTTCTTTTTAATGCCTTGAACCAATAAGTTTTCTAGCTTTTGTCAAGTGCATGCGTGTATATTTGTCCAGTCATGTCACTGATGTATCAGCAGGCAGTTTACAACTGCCTTTACCTTCATTTCTGGCATGAATTGAGTTTCAAGGTCGGCCAGAGATGAGAGCTTGGGACCCTCAGGACACGCGTACATCCCTGCACATGCACACGGACTTCTAGATTCCCAGGAATATGCTTGAGCTTGTCAAAGCTCCCATGGACATCTTCCCAGATTTTTCCTTTTAAGTTTCGTGGTCAGCCTTTTGTTAGCCTCACCTGATAACGCTGCCTCAGGCAGCCACAGGGTTGCCCAGTTGCCACTGATTATTCTGCAGGAAGGGCTGTTTTCAGAGTGAGCTGAGTTAAATAAAGACAGGTCCTGAAAATGGAGCTTTTCAGTGAGTTGCCAGACAAGTCAAATAGAGGCAGTTCTCTAGTGGTGGAGATCTGGGGGAGCTCCAAATTCATTCTGCCTCCTCCAGTGGTTACTAGGTTGCTGGTTTTCACAGACACTAAGAGGGCTGTTGGTTTTCAAGGCTACCATGGAATAAGGAAGAGGGGCATGGGATTAGGGCAACTTAAAATGCCACTTTCTGCTCTGAGATTCAGCTGTTTTCCTTTAATAAACACGCCTCAGTTTGTTGCTAACGATTAGTTACTTTCCAAAGTTCTGAAAAAGTTGATTTTGACATTTTTGCCAGTCTTGTTGCTTTCATGAAGGAGATTTTGGGTGGCTTTTACTCCATCCTCATTGAAGTAGAAATCCTTTAGATATTAAAATTATAAATTTATACAGATCCTTTGGATTCAATCAACACCACAGGGTTCTTTTTATGGCCTCCCTTCCTGATATGCAAACACCTTTTTCCAACAGTGAGAAACTAAATTTGTATTATCTACAACACAGGTATGTATTTGTTTGACTTTAGTATATACATAAAAATTTCAGGATTGCTAACCCACACCCCTGTGAGAAACACATTTCCTTGAGTTACTTTTTAAAAAGATTGCTGGCTGCTGTGTTGAGAACCATGGGGAACAGGCCCTCAATCAGTGGGAGCAGTTAAGTGGTTACTCATATTATTCAGGTGAGAGATGGCAGTGGCTTGGACCAGAGCAATGATGTGCAAACTCTATTGTGAATTTGAACGTGAGGGATGTAGGTTGTGTGCTGCTTATGCGAATCTAATGCCTGATGATCTGAGATGGAACAGTTTCATCCTAAAACCATCCCCCTCACCCCACCCATCCATGGAAAAATTGTCTTCAACGAAATCAGTCCCTGGTGCCAAAATGGTTGGGGACTGTTGGTTTAAATGGTGAGGCATGGTCAGATTCCGGATGTGTTTTGAAAATTGAACCCATAGTATTAAACTGATGAATTAGACAGGAGATGTAAGATAAAGAATCAAAGATAATGCCAATTTTTGTCTGAGCAATTGGAATAATGGAGTTGCCATTAACTGAAAGCCTGTGGAAGAGATTCAAGTTCTGGGAGAAAGATTGGTTTTGCTCATTTTAAATTTTAGATATTTATTATTCAAGTGCAGATAGATGCCCAGTTATCCACAGGCAGCTGAATATATCAGTCAAGCATTTAGGAGAGATGTGGACTGGAGACAAACATTTATGAGTTATCAGTGTACAGATGGTGGTGGTAGGAGTGGTCAGTGCCCTGCATATATCTTATGATCCTAGGAACTGCCAATGTGTTCCTGCCAACTTTCAGCTCCTGCTATCTGGTTTTTCTTTTTAGACAGGGTCTCACTCTGCCACCCAGGCTGGAGTGCAGTGGCACAAATCACAGCTCACTGCAGTCTTGAATCCTCAGACTCCAGGGATCCTCCTATCTCAGCCGAGAAGCTGAGACTATAGGTGTGTACCACCATGCCTTGCTAATTTTTAAAGAATTCTGTGTAAAGATGGGGTGTCATCATGTTGCTCAGACTTTTTTTTTTTTTCTTTTTAAACTGTGGAAAGCAGTTCTGCTGGTACACATGATGAGCCAGTAACTAACATGTGCTAGAATAGCCCTCACTCAGTAACCCTGGGAAGTTGTTATATAAATACTCCAGGTCTCTTGCCCCTTAGGTGGGATAATTCTGAGGTATATATTTTGCCAAACTCCCCAAAGTCTCCCTGTGGCACCAAACTCTAATTGCCTACTACCATAGCTGGCTTAACAGTAAACTTTTCATTGGCTGCTTTCTCTTTCATACAGTTTCCCCAATTTCCTACCGATTCACGTGAGGCATTGTTTTACGTTCTGCTTCCGGGACAACCCAAACTAAGATGGTTTAAAGCTATGACACTGGACGGGATCACCAAATAAGTGAGCACAGAGAAGAAAAGAGGTGCAGACTCCGTATGAGTACTGAAACCCTGTGACACTGAGGGGCCAGGGAAATGAGGAGGAAACAGCGAAGGAAACGGGATGTGCAGGTGTTGCAAGGAGGTTGCAGGGAGGAAGGCAGAGCTGGATTCCAGTAGGGCTGGGGATTGTCAGGACAGTTTGAGGACAGTGCAGTGGAGGGTGACATAATGATGGGCCATGGAATTTACGTTGAATAAGGAGAGAAGTACAGGCATGAGGGAAATGACCTGTGAAAAAGCCATAGAATCAACGGATTGAAATCTCAGTGGGGTCAAAGAATTGTGGGGATTGAGGACCACAGGAGAATTGTATACACCATGGGGTTATTGGAGAGTGAGATACTTAAAACTGAGATTTTGGAGGGGTGCAGTTATTGTTATTAAAAGGACTGGGCTCTAGAATAAGACTATAGAACTGAGTGTCTTCTCACTGGAGGAAAGAAAAAGGGGCTGAGGGAGGCTAAGGTGGGCGGATCACTTGAGGCCAGACGTTCAAGATCAGCTTGGCCAACATGACGAAACTCCGTCTCTACTAAAAATACAAAAATTAGCTTGGTATGGTGGTGCATGCTTGTAATCCTAGCTACTCGGGAGGTTGAGGCAGGAGGATTGCCTGTATCAGGAAGGCAGAGGTTGCAGTGGGCTGAGATGGTGCCATTACACTCCAGCCTGGGTGACAGAGAAAGACTCCATCTCAAAAAATAAAAAAAAAAAAAGGTTGAGAGGCCAGGGAGTGTATTAGACCTTCACTTGGATATTGAAATCAGCAATGATTAGTAGTAATGGGATGACACTGAACCGGGAGCTAAACTCTTCAACAAATAAGAGGGAGTAACCAGGCTGGGAATAAAAGATAACTGCAACAAGAGTGAAATGAAGACAGGTTTTTCTTGAACACTCACACAGTATTTAGTAGGTGGCAAGCAGTTCTAAGCAGTTTATAAATAATGTCATTCAATCTTCATAACAACCCTATAAAACATGTACCATTTTACCCACTTTTACATATAAGGAAACAGAAACAAAACAGGACAAATAACTTGCTCAAGGTCCCCAGCTAATGAGTGGTGTGCTAGGATTTGAGCCCAGGCAGTCTGGCTCATTCTAACCTCCATCCATACTGTGATGGCTATTCATTCCAATGTGGGGAAGGGGGGATATTTGGAGAATGATCTAGAAGCAGCAATGAGAAGCCAGAAAGGCACCTATCTGAACGAAAGCAGCCACTCTCAAAAGTGCTGCCAAGGATGCCACATACACAGGGGGAAACCAGATTTAAAACTGGGAAGTCTGTTTTAACTTGCAAATGATAATTTTGTTTCACTGCCTATATTGGTCTTGTATTGCCTTTGTTATTCCTTGCTGCAACAACCAGCACTTTCAGAAACATGTTGATAGAAGGTAACTGGCTTTAATATTTACTGAGAAATGTTTTATTTTGCAATTAAGATGACTGTTTAATTTTGATTTAGCAACAGATAACATTAAGAAAATATTCTTTGCAAAACTGAGTTTGCTAAAGCTAGATGTTGAATTTTATCAAATATAGCTGCTAGAATTTTTCATAATTTTTTCCCCTTCGGTTTTATTATAGTGATGATTTATCAACAGATTTTTATTATAGTGATGATTTATCAACAGATTTTTCATTTTCTGAAATCTCGCATTCTTAGGATAAAAATATCTTGGCTATTGTGGATGTTTACTATATGACTAGAATTGATGTGCTCTTAATCTTACTTGTGATTACATTTAGGAACCACCCCCCCTCCACCCCTGCCCCGCCCCCAGGACACTGTCTTAAGGTCCTTAGCTTTAATCACATCTGCAAAGTTTCCTTTGCCATATAAAGTAACAGTCACGGGTTCTAGAAATCAGGACCTGGCTATCTTTGGGGGCCAACTATTTAACCTAGCACAGACGCTTTAGGACTTTAGGGCTTAATTCTCTTCTGGACCCAGCTGAGAAAAGCTGTCTAGGCAATATGCTCATTATATCTACAGATGGCACAAAACCATGCCACGTGACTGAATCAAGACCCGGCTGACTCTGAAAAACAGAACTCCACAAAGCATAATTCAAAAGCGTGTGACGTGCTTGCATTCTGTGTGGAATGGAAGGATTCAAGATGTCAGCTGGCAATTCCAGGAAAAACTGTGATTAGGCTTTTCTTAGAAATGGCATCTGCAGAGCATATGGCAAGCCTGCTCCTCTAGGTCTGGTTGGACCCTACAGGGAGCAGGCCTTGACTTTGTGAGTGAGCCTGGCTTGCCTTCCACACGGCAATGCCCCCTTGGAGAGGAATCAGGATTGATGGTGAAGCCAGGATGCTACACAGGATAGATGCAGAGGAGTGTTACAGGCTTCTTCACGATGGGCAGATCGGGCCTCAAGTGGTCAGAGCTTTCCAAAGGTGGGTGTGCACAGTGGAGAATTTCCTCTCTGTCGAGAGAGCCCTGAGTCTGGATGACCATCTGGCAGGGATATGTAGGGGAAGAAGGTGGTGAGTACTGACTTAGATGATTACTTAAGGTTCACTGTCAAACTTTGAGACCCCACTCAACTACTTCAAATTTTAGTTGGGGAAACCAAGTCCCAGAGAGAGAGGTCACTTGGATTTATAAAGTTAAAAGCAGAGTCAAACATACATCTCACCACTTCTGGTCATCCTCAGATATTAATACTCAGTTTTTCAAACAACATGCAAAGAAATAAATTCAGAGGTAACATTTAACTATGATTTTTTTTTTTTTTTTTGAGACGGAGTCTCACTCTGTCACCCAGACTGGAGTGCAGTGGCCGGATCTCAGCTCACTGCAAGCTCCGCCTCCCAGGTTTATGCCATTCTCCTGCCTCAGCCTCCGGAGTAGCTGGGACTACAGGCGCCCGCCACCTCGCCCGGCTAGTTTTTTGTATTTTTTAGTAGAGACGGGGTTTCACCGTGTTAGCCAGGATGGTCTCGATCTCCTGACCTTGTGATCCGCCCATCTCGGCCTCCCAAAGTGCTGGGATTACAGGCTTGAGCCACCGCGCCCGGCCACATTTAACTATGATTAAAAAAAAAATACCAAAACCATAAATTTTCAAGGCAATAATTATCTCAACAGTGCTTTGAGAAGGAGCATGCATTTACATTGGGGAGGAAGGCACTGAGTCGAGTCTCGGCTGTGCTGCTGAACCCTGAAGGCCTGTCAGAGGCTGCCTGGAATGGGATGAAGAGCAGGGAATCAGAAACAGGCAATCTGTCCAATTTTCAGTGAAACAAGTTTCATAATTTTAGAACCTCCCAACATCCAAAATCCTAGACACAATGTTCCTTTGAAAGAATATATTTTCTTACTAAGTTGATATCAGAAATAAGCAGTTTGTTCTTACACACTTTCTGAGGACCTACATTTCTATGGCATTTAAATCTTGGATATTTTTAATGAACATTAAATCCCAGGGAACTAACACTGCATTTCACAATCTCTGAGCACTGATCGATGTTCTTTTTAATCCTGTAGAATTTCTCCACATATTCAGAACGTCCTAAAAGCTCCACAAAATCTTCATCATGAGTGATTACCAGAAGCTGGAAGTTACGCTGCTGTGAGCGACTTTTTATTATCCTGAAACAATATATTTAGAACATATTATTAGTAAAGAGCATAACCCCTTCTTTGATTTGAAAAGTCACTGCAAACCTTGCCAGACACATGAACTTGTGCTGTGTGTGTCAGGGCCCCAGCTACCCTGCAGGAAGTGGAGGAGCGACCCCAGACCTTCAGGCCAGCCAGGCAGGAGTCTCATCTCCTCTCCACACAGTAGGGACACATGGGCTGACTCCTCACTTAGGTCTGGTTTAGGGACTCATAGTAATACAATAACTAGTTTCTTCCAGAAGTTCTCACTAAAGCAGGTATAATTATTTTATTGAGTTTTCCTTAATACCCAAACTGTTCAACTATAGAAGGCTTATTCCTTCGCCTGGGATTTTCCTGACCTGTTACTACTTTTCTCTGGAAGAAAAATTTTAAAGTAATAAAGACAAACTGCAGGTAAGGGGAATAACACTGCTTTCTTAAGAGCTGGGTCTACTTAGAATTCTGCCACCACCAGTCACTAGATGCATCATTACTATGACACACAGGGATGTGAGTGGGTGTTCTGGGAACATTTTGCTGAGGTAACCAGCAATGTGACTGAAACCTGAAAGACTTTTTCTTTTAGCTAGCCACTTATCCCCTCTTCCTGGAGCTGGATGTACTTGAGGTTTCAAAAGCACTCGCCCTTACTTGCGATGGCTGCAGAAAGGTGGCCCTGTGCTGCTCAGCTCTCCTTCTGGCCCTCTCTGCCAGTAAGGGTCTGTCTGGAGCCAGGAGTGCCTGAAACACCTCCCTTTGACCTCAGGGAAAGTGCCTTTTTCTCTTCCAGCATAGTCCTTACGCAAGAGCTGCCTGACAACCTTGGCGTCTGTACCCACCCCAGGTGAATGTGGTAAAAGGTATGTGCAATTTTACCCTCACTGGATTTTACCTAATCTTGAATAAGCTTTTTGAGTAAGAGCTCTGTCATTCTTCACAGTTGTCTGACACATGTGGAAAGCTGGGGAGACAGTCCTAAATCTACTACCACTACCTACAGATGTCTTAGCAGGGCATGCTAATTGCTGTGCATGACATGTGGGTTCCTCTGGTAGGTTTACAGAAAAACCAGACCAGGAACCCCTCCAGTGACCCTCTCCCTGTGAACACACTTGGGGAGCGGCAGGATGTGTCTGGGACTGCTATTCACCATCTAGTTCCTTTAGGAGGGATCTGAAGAATTACTATCAAAAGGTAAAGCCCAGGGCCTGGCACCAACTGGCTTCCCCAAGAAGTGGGGAACACAACTAGAGAACGTTTTCACCACAGAACTCTCTTGATCTTGAAAAACTATCACAACCTGTCCCCAAATGTGAGATACTTACTCAACCAGAGCATGTGCAAGAGATTCAATGTTTTCTCGGTCAAGATTTGTTGTTGGCTCATCCAAGGCAATGATACCACAGTTGAGGCAGAACGTTTCAGCCAGGGCCAGGCGAATGATAAGTGAGGCTAATACCTGGAAAAAAGCCCCTATGTGAGAAGCCCAGCACAGACCTTCTCATCTCATGGCAGGCAAGCAGTCCTGACATGATCTTTTCAGAGGGAAAAGTGGGAAACATCACAGGTTCACTGTTAGGTAAAGCACTGCCCTTTGGGAGAGCCCAGCACTGGGACCAGATTCTTATGTCCTCCAGAAGGAGAACCTGCATGATCTCAGCCCATCATTCACCACAAAACAAAATGCTCAGAGCAATGCTGATGCCTTCACATAAAAAATTACATCAGCTACAACCAACTTGAGACCAAAGGCTAGAAACAGAGACAATGCCATTTATCTGTAATTTTAATAAACCTGTAGGATTAGCAACCTTAAAAATTCTTGACCTGGCTATTTTCCTGATAATGGGGTCTGTCAGAAAACTTTGACACATTTTCTAGAGCCTCTCACTTTTTCTCAGCTACCTTTAAATTTCCATATTCTTGTGTATAATTCTGAGAGTGAGAGAATAAAAAGAAAATCCTAGGTCAAAGTATCAGGAGTATAGAAGTGTGGTTTCAGTTAAGCTTACCTGTAGAAAATCCAAGTAACTGGAACTGTTAGGCATTTTCACGGTTACTAGAAACCTAATACTAAAACCCTCAGACCTAACTGAAGCCATCTGAAGATACAAGACACACAGAATTGACAGAGTAGGGCTATTCTGGGAAGTATAAACTACTCTGTTGTGAGCTGTAAGTCCCCTTTCCCCCTCAATTTGTGGGTGGGTGTGCACGAATCAGTGAGTTGGTAATTTTAGAATAGTTTACGTCTTTTCTTTGATGCCTAGGCAAGCCAGAAGACAGAGCCACAGCCTGGCCCTGTGAGGGACAGGCATTTCCTGTCTTTGAATCCAAACTGCTGTCAACTCTACCACCACCTACTCACATGCAGAGTCCCTGGCTGGCTTCGAGAGCCTCAACAAAAGCCAGTGTTAGGTAGGATGGACGCCCACCTCCATTATTTGTTCTCTCCCCTCACACCAAGGGGGCAATTATTGCTAATTAATTTTCATAACTCAGAATAGCTACAGAAAATCTTTTTCCTCAAGATATTTTTGTAAGTATTTTTAATCCAAAGAGACCATGTTTCACACTCTGTATTTTCTCATTTATAATTACCACTAAAAATCACCAAAGTAGGTAGGGATACTGATTACAGATCACAAGTTGGTCATTTTTGTAGACTGATTTAGATAGTAATCTGCAGATGCTTTAAATTGGTATCAGCTGTCTAGGCTGACAACATCATACATACATGCATGGCATGTTCTTTCTTTCTTTTTTTTTTTGAGATGGAGTTTCGCTCTTGTTGCCCAGGCTGGAGTGCAATGACATGATCTCGGCTCACTGCAACCTCTGCCTCCCCGGTTCAAGAGATTCTCCTGCCTCAGCCTCCCGCGTAGCTGGGATTACAGGCACACGCTACCATGCCCAGCTAATTTTTGTATTTTTAATAGAGATGGAGTTTCACCATGTTAGTCAGGCTGGTCTCGAACTCCTGACCTCAGATGATCTGCCCTCCTCGGCCTTCCAAAGTGCTGGGATTACAGGCGTGAGCCACCATGCCCAGCTGCATCCACCATGCCCAGCTGCATGGCATGTTCTTTAAGCAAAAATTGCAAACTATGAAAATGGGTTAGATAATGTGAGCATCCATTTCTATGATTTTAGAATTTTATTTAAAAAAATCAAGGGCCTAGAGGTGTTCTCAAGTGTAATCTTCTGCCTTAATCTGAAAGCAGAAAGCTCAAGAATCTGTGACATCTTTGTTACAAATCTGTGCACAGTGAAGGACCCAGCCTTGTTCCCCAAGGATGCCATATTCCTGACTCTTTAAAACTTCATTCCTCTTCCTGATTTCCAACGCAGGCTGTCCTCACAGAGCCTCACCTGATGAAAGGGGCCTGACCCAGCAGCTAAGTCTTTGAGTATGTGGTGGTGGGGACTTAGTCCTATGAGGAGCTACTTCCTTAGTGAGACTCCCTCCTATGTTCATTCTGGCTTAAGCTAGAATCTGGTTTGCAATACTATGATGTCACTGATTCTAAAACATCTTATGGTTATAATTGCATTTTTTCATTCCTGCTGGCACATAAAATAGTGGTACATCTTATAACTGATGAGACAGTAACCTTATTCTGATAAGGAGTGCCATGAAAACTCTTAACAGGTCTTCAGCTTCTTGTTCTACATTTAGCCTATGCTGCAAGAATGCTTCAGGCCCTTCTTTTAAAAGTCTACTTTACATAATGTTGCAGGAAATGATGGTTAGCTTCAGGAGGGTGTAATAATAGTAGCTGAGCCTGATTCATATTATGTGGCAGCCAAGAGCTTCCCACCATTCAGGTGTAGCCTTGGTGCTTTCACTGCACTGATGTTTGTTTCTCTCTTTCAGTTACTTGGGTGAGTTGGCTCCCCAGGCTTTTGAGATACCTGCCTTTTGTCCAGCACTGCATCGTCCTCGCATATCCAAGGCCGTGTCTCCCTTCAGCATCACCACTCGGTAGTTATAATTCCGCCTTTTATCAGAAGCTGATACATTTTCATCGGCATCAGACCGTATTTCTATGTATTCAATATCTGACACAGAAAAAAGAATATTTTAAAGGAACCTATGCTCTGTAGCCTTTTGTCATTTACAAACGTATCAAGTAAGCCTAGGAACAACACACGAGGCTGACATTACCAGGGGAAAAAAATGGCTGGTGTGGAACCTCTTTCTCTGGCTGGGAGGATTCAGGAGCCTGGTGGTTTGGCCAGAAGCAACCCAGATGCTCCAGTTCCTCAGCCTCAACTCTGTCTTTCTTAGTTTCCGTTAAGAGCGTCCTCTGGGCTAGGCATGGTGGCTCATGCCTGTAAACCCAACACTTTGGGATGCCAAGGCGGGTGGATCACCTGAGGGCAGGAGTTTGAGACCAGCCTGGCCAACGTGGTGAAACCCCATCTCTACTAAAAACACGAAAATTAGCCAGGTGTGGCAGTGCACACCTGTAATTCCAGCTACTACTCGGGAGGCTGAGGTGGGAGAATCACCTGAAGCTGGGAGGTGGAGGTTGCAGTGAGCCAAGATTGTGCCACTGCACTCCAGCCTGGGTGACAAAGAAGAGCGAGACTCCATCTGAAAAAAAAAAGTTTCCTCCGGATGGTTTTTTCTTATCGCATTTTGGTTTATCCCTATCTACACTATGACAGAACCTATTATGTCATCAGCTAAATATAATGCCTACTGCAGTCAAATATGTAAGTCCTGTTAGGCTCTAGAACAGAAAACTTTACATTTTCTTGCTACAAGATATTGCCAAGATAAGAATTCTTAGAAAATCTCAAAGACATGCTTAGAAAGGGGTCCAGGGAGGTAATGCTGGCATGATGAGAGGTCATAAGGGGAAGAGCTGTGGAGAGGGCTTTGGAAAGAGCATTTGTGATACACCATGGTACTCACCTTGTCCACGATAGGTACTTCGCCACAGGTCACGAATAATTTTATTGATTTCTTCCATTTTCATACTGTGAAATTTCATTATTGCTCTGGAAAAAGAAGCCATTGGTCCTTTATATATATAAAAGATATATAATTATGTGTAATAGTAATACTAAAATACATAAAATATATAATATATATAAAATATAAATAACTTCCTCAATATTTTCAATGGTAAAAGTGGAATACAGTAATAGCTAGAAAAAATAAAATAAACAGCAGCAAAACTTTGCTGCTTGGCTAATACTGAAAATTGGTAGGCTTATTTCTAGTGCTCCAGGGTCACCCTTCTCCATATTCACTCTATAGGATATAACAAATACTCCTTTAAGTAAATACTTAAATACTGTGAAAACTTCAGGAAACATAATTTTGTAGACTTTTTTCTTAGGCCGTGGTAACTTATTGGAGGGACTGCTTCCACTGATACTCACGGGTCACAGGAAGGCCTGCTGAATGAACGAGAGGGAGTTAAAGGGGAGGAGGTTTATGGCTGGCCAAGCAGCCGGCAGTCTATGGGGAAAATATGAGAATCGCTGGAACTGCCGCCTTGTCCCTCTTTTATCACTGTTAGGGCTTACCAAAAGTCAGCTTCTTACGCTGCTTTTATTCCTCAGATCTTACATTTTTACCAATGGGAAGCTCTGGTTCAGCGAGAATGATTTAGAAGCTTAAGCTGAACTGACATCAAAATTTTATTTTACCTTCCTATTCATAGATTCAGAAATCCTAATTCTAAATATTAACTTCCATCTTTATATTCCAAATCCTAACTCTAAGCACTAACTTCCACTTAGTCCAGACATGTCCCTGTCCCCAACTCTCTTTTAAGGTAGTAGTTTCTAAACACTAAAAAGAAAGAACAGAAATATTTGTAAAAACAAAAGTAGCCTGTCAAAACCTAACATTGTTCCCACCACAGTCACCTTTCATCAAAAAGCCCTTAGGTTCTCTGGAAGCGGGTTTATAGAACTAATAAATGTTGCACCAGTGGTAAAAAGGCAAACATTACTGCGATCACCATACAAAGGATGTGAGGCAACTTACTTCCATTTGCAGGCCTCTTATCTGATGCATACAAAAAAAGAAACTGAACATAATGCTACTGCCTCTGTAGAATCATTTCATGATCTTCTGGTTCACCAGCAAGAGAGAAAGAAATGACTCAACATAAATACATTTTAAATATCAGATGAAGGACTGTGAAGTAGTAGAAGACTGGAAAAAACCATATTCTGCTTGTTGATGAGAATGCAACAAGTCTCCATTTTCTACCTTATACATTTATCTCAGCCTAACATTTTATGCTCCTTTCAAAAGGAGACAAAACATCTAAGTATTTCCTAAAAACAAAACAAAACTGATGGAATGTTAGACCAATCATGTAAGGACTGCCTTTCCATAGCTTATATATTATGATCCTGATTTTTCAAATGACATTAAAAAAAAGTTATCTTTCCATTCAAGTTAAAAATCTTCAAAAACTAACATAAGCATTCTAATGTGGAGAACAAGCTCCAGACAGGGCAGGGGTGGCCAAGGCGCACACATGCAGTCTGCCTTGGCTCCCTTATACAACACAGGTGGTGCATCCTGTCCCATGGCCAGGTCTGCTGAGACACAGCACTGTGGGAAAAAGCTCTAGTTCAGGGAGAGGTCTCAACCCACCAAAGAGTGTGTCAGATGGAGCTGATGACTACCACTGTGGGATGGACCATTAATTCATCTTCATATCCTCTCTGTCTACTGTGGAATTTACGGCTGTACTGTGTAAGAGATGTGGATGATGAAGGTTGCTACAGTAATCTACATAAGGGAATAACAATGATAATAATGATTATTATTGATGACCATTTACCATATGCGAGACAAAACTATGCTAAATAATCAATGTCATTTAATCCTTACGACAATACTGGGAATTAGATACTGTTATCTCCATTTACTGTTAACAAAACTAAGATTCAATGAAATCAGTAACTTGTTCAAGATCAGAGAAAAGTGGGTAGGATATTAATAGCCCTTGAATATGATAGTTAAAATTGAAAAGGCAGTCAAAATTCCATCTTTTAAAGCCACCAGACTCAGTTTTATGAGGAAATGTTATCAAATCTTCAAGATACACCTAGTTCCCAAGTATATAAAGTGTGACACAGCAAGGAGAAACATAAGGGGAAAAAAGTACAAGGCTATTTTGCTTATGAATATAAACATTCTAAATAAAACCAAATTTAGTAGTAAGGGTAGTAAAAAGAATACATCATGACCAAGTAGTGTTTACAACAAGAAACAGTAAAATTGGGGAAAATAATTCAATTATTGTAGTAACAGATGTCTAAAATAACATTTGATACACTATAACACTGAATTTTGATAAAATATCCTAAGTGAAAAATCGAAGAACGTTTTCTTAACTGGACAAAATGACTCCCTCAGATATCCACAGAAAGCATCAAATTTAATTTAAAATATATAGAAGTATTCCTCCTAAAACTAAGAAGAAGAGAAAGATGCCTCCTATTATGGCTGCTCTAAAATAATGTCCTGGAAATCCCTAACAACTTAAGGATTTCACAATTCAAATTCCTAACTAAAAAGAAATGAAAAATGAAAAAAAGAGAGAAAAGCCTGTTATTGCTTTTGCAGGTGACAGAACTGTATGCTTAGAAAATCCAAGAAAATCAACTGAAAACTTATTCAGACTAATGAGGTAGCCAGAGATAAATATATAAAAATGAAGTTTTATTATCTAGAGCAAACACCAATAGGAAAGGCAATAGAAAAAAAAGGATCCTATTCACAGTGGTGATAAAAACCATAAAATGCCTAGGAATAAGTGTAACAAAAGGGTATAGGAGCTGGAGGAAAAAGCTGTAAAACTTTACCATAGGAGAAAAGAACATGATTGAGTAGGAGATGCATACTAAGGAGTCCAGAATGGTAGATTTGATATTACAAAGATGTCCGTTCTCCTCAAATAATCCATAAATTAAATACAATCCAAACAGAAATCCCAATATGATTAAAAAATGCTTAATAGAATCCATAAGCTGACTCTAAAGTTCACATAGAAGAGATAACACAAAAGAAAAAAAAATAAATTTTAAAAGTTGGTGTACAAAGGAAAATCCAGAAACAAACCCAAATGCATATAGAACGTTAGTTTATAACTGCAACAGTTCAAATCAACTGGAAAGGTTTCAATAGTGTTACAAAGGATAAAAAAATAACATTACCTGTTATCCAACCTCAAAATAAAATCCAAATGAATCAAAGGATTAAAAGCTAAAGTATTTGGGCAGCTGAGGTGGGAGGATCGCTTGAGCCTGGAGTTTGAGCCTAGGCAACATAGTGAGACCCCATCTCTACAAAAAAATTTAAAAATTAGCTGGGTGTGGTGGTGAGTGCCTGTAGTCCCAGCTACTTGGGAGGCTGAGGTGAGAGGATCACCTGAGCCTGGGAAGTTGAAGCTATAGTAAGCTGTGATCATGCCACTGCACTCCAGCTTCGGTGACAGAATAAGACCCTGTCTGAAAAAAACAAAACAAAAGCTAAGGTAAAATAAAACCATCAGAAGAAAACATTTTGATAATTTTAGGACTGGGAAGCCTTTCTAAACAAGGAACAACATAAATCAAAAGACTAAAGATCTGACTACCTAAAAATGAAAAGTTACAAAAGATACCATAAAGAAAGCTGAGGTAGTTGGGCACAGTGGCTCATGCCTGTAATCCCAACACTTTAGGAGGCCGAGGCAGGCAGATCACTTGAGGTCAGGAGTTGGAGACCAGCCTGACCAACATGGTGAAACCTTGTCTCTACTAAAAATACAAAAATTAGCCAAGTGTGGTGGTGCATGCCTGTAGTCCCAGCTACTTGCGAGGCCGAGGCAGGAGACGGAGGTTGAAGTAAGCTGAGATTGTGCCACTGCACTCCAGCCTGGGTGACAGAGCTAAACTGTCTCAAAAAGAAAAAAAAAAAAAAAAAAAAAAAAAAAAGTTGATGGACAAATGATGAACTGGGAATAGGCACCGGCAATGTATGTGAAAATAATTAACATCTAGAATCTATTAAAATGTGACAAATCAAGAAAAAGACAACCTAGTAGAAAAACGGGCAAAGAGATATGAATAGGTAATTTCTGGAAAAGAAATACAAATAGACAACATATGAAAGGACATTTAACTTCACTAGTAAAAAGAGGGAAATGTAAATTAAAGTGCAAGCATTCTTTTGTGCAGCCAGTAAAATGTCAGTAACAAAATCCAGACATGGAAACGGGTACTTTCATATATTACCGGTGGAAATTTTATAAGTGTTTTTAGAAGGCAATTTGGCACTAACTAAAAAATATACATAACCTCTGGGCCAGTAACTCCATTTCTAGGAAGCTGTCTTTTTGATATATCTGCTCTAGTGTGCAAAGATGCACTCTGCAGCATTATCTGTAGTAGCACATATTCAAAAGCTTTCTAATATGTTCAATAATGGTTAAATAAAGATATCATGCATTTTACAGAATATGCAGTCATTAAAAATACAAAGTACTTGAATATATGAATGTAAAAGATTACCGCTATGTTAAATGGAAAAAAAAAAACAAAACTCAGAAAAATACCTTGTGATAATGCTCACAAAGAACAGAAAAGATTTATTTGGGTGTACTACGTGCAAAGCCATTGTGAGGGAAATGAAAATATGTCACCAACGTAATAATTCTTAAGGGCTGAATCAAAGTTAGACATTGTCATGGAAATGAACCTAAGTCTACCTTGAAGTGTGTTCTGTGGTTTGCAGTTATGGAGTATGGGGAAGCCCAAATATCTGTAATACAAGGCTGAATGGCTTTAGTTGCATAAGTGGTACAAAATATTATGAAGTACAAAGATAGGAAAAAAATCACATATATTTGGGAAGGACTTCATCAACGTAACATTCCAAGGATGGGAAATAGCACAGGAAAATATGGGACATACTAAGGGAACAAAATTGTTTGATTAGAACACACTTGGTAGTAAGAATTGAAATGGGAAAGCCCAGGTATGGA